TCTCCTGGCGCCCAAGAGGCTCCTGGCGCCCAAGAGGCTCATGGCGCCCAAGAGGCTCCTGGCGCCCAAGAGGCTCCTGGCGCCCAAGAGGCTCCTGGCGCCCAAGGGACTCCTGGCGCCCAAGAGGCTCCTGGCGCCCAGAGGCTCCTGGCGCCCAGAGGCTCCTGGCGCCCAGAGGCTCCTGGCGCCCAGAGGCTCCTGGCGCCCAGAGGCTCCTGGCGCCCAGAGGCTCCTGGCGCCCAAGAGGCTCCTGGCGCCCAGAGGCTCCTGGCGCCCAGAGGCTCCTGGCGCCCAAGAGGCTCCTAGCGCCCCCCAGTGGCTCCTAGCGCCCCCCAGTGGCTCCTAGCGCCCCCCAGTGGCTCCTAGCGCCCCCCCAGTGGCTCCTAGCGCCCCCCAGTGGCTCCTAGCGCCCCCCCAGTGGCTCCTAGCGCCCCCCAGTGGCTCCTAGCGCCCCCCAGTGGCTCCTATCGCCCCCCAGTGGCTCCTAGCGCCCCCCAGTGGCTCCTAGCGCCCCCCAGTGACTCCTAGCGCCCCCAGTGGCTCCTAGCGCCCCCCAGTGGCTCCTAGCGCCCCCCAGTGGCTCCTAGCGCCCCCCAGTGGCTCCTAGCGCCCAGAGGTGTCGGCCACAAGCCACAAATGTCAACCAGTTCAGCCTTTCTCTAAACTTGAATATTAAGCTGCGATGATTCTTTCATTTATTTTCCACACGTGCCAACGTTTGGAACGTGTGTATTTCCAGCTTAAAAGTGTTGTTCACTGTGTACGTAAGTACATATAGCACGCACACATCAGGGGGGAAGAGAGCGACACCTCTCATTCAGAACCCTGTATACTACATATGTCAGACCAATCCTGGAGTATGCGGCTCCACGCTGTGGAGCCGCATACTCTCTAGTGAAGCACAAGGCTAAATTGGAGAAAGGTATGCCACCAGACTAGTACCGGAGCTGAGGGGTATGAGCTTCGAGGAGAGACTACGGGAACTGAACCATTACGTCGCTGAGAGACGAGAGTTAAGGTAAACATGATCACCACATACAAAATGATGGAGGATAACGAGACGGAGAATGATGTAGAAGGGAAAGAAGGTTGAGGGAGGAGGACAGTGAGACACAATAACAAAGAAGGGAAAAAACAGGGATGACTGGAGAAAGATTAGAAGTGGGAGGGGTACTTAAGGAGACGCGCATCAAGAATCGGGAGCGGAAAAGAGAAATATGGGAGGGGGGAAGAGCAGGATGGAAAGGGGAGAGGAGAATAGTGGTGAACGACGCCGAGAGTTGGAGCGGCGTGACCATGAAGCCGAGTGGCTAAGCCCAAGACCAAGTCTTCAGCTAAGCCGCGATTAACAAGCGCTAACCATTGTCACGTGTTGCAGTGTCTTGTGAGGAGTGTTGCAGCGTCTTGTGAGGAGTGTTGCAGTGTCTTGTGAGGAGTGTTGCAGCGTCTTGTGAGGAGTGTTGCAGTGTCTTGTGAGGAGTGTTGCAGCGTCTTGTGAGGAGTGTTGCAGCGTCTTGTGAGGAGTGTTGCAGCGTCTTGTGAGGAGTGTTGCAGCGTCTTGTGAGGAGTGTTGCAGCGTCTTGTGAGGAGTGTTGCAGCGTCTTGTGAGGAGTGTTGCAGCGTCTTGTGAGGAGTGTTGCAGCGTCTTGTGAGGAGTGTTGCAGCGTCTTGTGAGGAGTGTTGCAGCGTCTTGTGAGGAGTGTTGCAGCGTCTTGTGAGGAGTGTTGCAGCGTCTTGTGAGGAGTGTTGCAGCGTCTTGTGAGGAGTGTTGCAGCGTCTTGTGAGGAGTGTAGCACGATGACCCCCCCTCCCCCCACCCCCTGGACGATGACCCCCCCTCCCCCCACCCCCTGGACGATGACCCCCCCCCCCCCCACCCCCTGGACGATGACCCCCCCTCCCCCCACCCCCTGGACGAAGACCACGTTATCAACTATGCACCAGAGACGTCCTTGAGCTCGAGATCAGAATAAGACGAGATCCTTCAGCTTCCCTGTGACTTCATCTATCCTAAGAGGATCTAAACCTCTTCACGGGTCTAGTCTTATCTCTTCCAGCAGATAACCTGAATAAAGACCAAACGGCCCTTATTATATCATGGCATATTCTCAAGTATACTTTCCAACAGATCAAGAAATATTTCCCACCCACTCCTAACAAGGCGGGGTCAAAAGACCGGAGTCAATTACAGCAAAACCTTTCAGGAATTTTGACGCCATCTTAACCCCTTATCGTGTCTTAACTCAAGGAACCAATTCAACCCGATTTCTCGAAACCTCAGTCGAGGTGGAAATTTCAATATGAGAATCGTGGCTCAGAGACCTCACAGGGAACGGACTTATCAGGGGAAATCGCCAAGCCATTATGACTATATATATAGCACTATATAGCACTTGGTTATATATGGTCGAAACGTATAGCAACCCATCTAGAGGCTGTGTATGCAAGAGCTCTAACAGATCCCTATGTTATCGTCCTGTTATCTAAATATAGTATTTACACCTAATAATAATAAATGATCGCCCCTTGGGCTGGATGACAGAGCGATGGTCTGGCTTCATGCAGGTCGGCGTTCAAATCTCCGACCGTCAAAGTGGTTGGGCACCATTCCTTCCCGCCGTCCTGTCCTAAATCCTTATATCCTTTCCAAGTGCTACACTCGTAATGGTTTAGTGATTTCTCCTGATAATTACCTCATCCATGTTAACAAAAATAAATATCGTATAATTTATTAATTAGGTCTAGGATACGTCTCTTGAGTCTATTGCCAATGATTTACATTTACAAAACGTTGAAGCGTTTTAAAAGTCGCTAAGAGGACACAGAATGCAAAGCACTTCTTGCAAAGAAGAAGAATACAACTGTAATACAAAGATGGAATACAACTGTATTCCATCTTTGTACTTCTTGCAAAGATGGAACACAGTTGAGAGTCCCGTGTAGAGTCATTCACGGACAGCGGCCGTGGATTAACGAACACATGACTTGTGTTCGTAAAGACGGGCTGAAATCCAGCGTATATAAATCCACCAGTCCGTTGTATGCCGACAGAACAACAACAACAAGTTATACACCCATCAACACTACATTTACCAACATGCACTTCTGAAACCTCTCCCTATAAATACATTCATACATTTAAGATCCCAACAATTTTATCTAAGACCTTCAATTTCAATTTCTCATTTTTTTTTCTTTATTATGCCCCCCATACCCATCCCGTACAGGGTGGTGTAAAGGATTACTGAGGCACACAATCGGTTCAGGATCTGAACCCTCTAGTTCGTTTAGCTAAGCAAATAACAATCTTTTGACGCTAGTTACACAATTATTAATATTATATATACACATATATATATACTCATACATACTTGTACATATATATACATATATACATACACATACATATTTAATCACCTACACAAATACACACATCAATAATCTTTTGTATCACAAGTGATTCCTACAATATTCGTTTTTTTTTCTCTAATAGCCGAATATTCGTTATTAAAAGTCTTCTACAGAACACTTGCGGGGCGCAGCAAGTCTTTCACACAAGAGCAGATCAATTTGAGTACTTTAAACAGTGAAGCAACACCTTCCTAGCTGGACAGAGAACACATTCGGCGACTCATTCACTAGACAGAGGGGATAGGCAGGCGCCCAAGACTAAAGGGGCCGGATTCAGGAAGCAGTTACGCAAGCACTTACGAACGTGTACATCTTTCCACAATCTTTGACGGCTTTGGTTACATTTATTAAACAGTTTACAAGCATGAAAACTTCCCAATCAACTGTTTTTATTGTTTTTAACAGCCACCTGGTGCTTCAAGCTCATTAACTGTTTAAAAATTGTAAACAAAGCCGCCAAAGATTGAGAAAAGATGGACAGGTTCGTAAGTGCTTGCGTAACTGCTTCGTGAATCTGGCCCCAGACTAGTACTAAGAGTGCAAGGGACAAACACGACAATTTCTGAACCTTTTGGAGGACGAGCGCATTGTCAAAATGGCCTCAGAGCTGATAAGTCCTTCTTAACAAATCTTAAAAGAGAGATTTACGACAAGCAGATAAGGGAACGATGTACAGATTGTGTCGTCCTCGATTTACAGAAAGCATTGGATTAATGCTTTCTGTAAATCTTAATTTAATTAATTAATTAAATCCAGTTCTTTATAAAAGGTTTAAAATCGGTCAGCATTAACTGGGTAGCCTATAATTTAGAGTACCTTCATGATAGGAAACAGAGGGATGTGATGAGGGAAGAGGTTTCAGAGTGAAGAAAGAACCCTAGGGCCAGATTCACGAAGCAGTTACGCAAGTACTTACGAACGTGTACATCTTTTCTCAATCTTTTACGGCTTTAGTTACATTTATTAAACAGTTTACAAGCATGAAAACCTCCCAATCAACTGTTGTTATTGTTATAAACAGCCTCCTGGTGCTTCGGAGCTTATTAATTGTTTAATAATTGTAAACAAAGCCGTCAAAGATTGAGGAAAGATCCACACGCTTAACCTTAAAAAGTACATCATTTAAGACTAATGGAACATTTGCATACACTTGTGTTTGTAAGGACGCATCACCGTCTCTCTGACGAGGTGCCATACCTGGCACTGTCTGTCACCGGCTGGCACCCCTAGTGTCACACGGTAGCCAATGAGAGGACAGTATGCTAACTTGAGAAGGATCCGGTGGTTACGAGGGGGAGAGTGCTCACTCTCTTGCTCTCCCCCTCCCCTAGCCCTCACTCTCCCCCTCCCCCAGCCCTCCCCCTCCCCCAGCCCTCCCTCACTCCCCCCTCCCCCCCAGCCCTCCCTCGCTCTCCCCCTCCCCCCAGCCCTCCCTCACTCTCCCCCTCCCTCACTCTCCCCCCAGCCCTCCCTCACTCTCCCCCTCCCTCACTCTCCCCCCAGCCCTCCCTCACTCTCCCCCTCCCTCACTCTCCCCCCAGCCCTCCCTCACTCTCCCCCTCCCCCCAGCCCTCCCTCACTCTCCCCCT